CATCGAGGAAGTGTTCAGTTGATTTCCTCCCTAATCTCGCTGAACCTTCCCTTCCAGGAGTAACTGCTACTACAACCTCATCTTCCTCGACTGCCTCGAGTACCTGATCCCGAGCCACCTTCAGGAGGAGCACATGTCGGCCCTGCAGACCGTCGGCAAATAAAGCTCTTCCCGGAACCGACCTTCCTCGACGGCGTCTGCGAACGACCCGGATTCACGAACGGCTTCGAGCAGGTCGTTCTTCATTTTGCTTTCGCGTGGCTCGAACTTCGGACACCCGCTGCGTCAAATTTCATTTCCTGCTTGAGGTTGACTGCCTTTGGGTTGGTTCTGCTCTGCTGCTGGAGGAGGAGATGGACGAGTCTGGTGTGGGGTTGTGTCAAGGCCTTTCTGAATAAACTCAAACTGCAAACCTTTGAAGCTTTCCATTTTTACGATCTTTTTATTACGATCTCCATTTCCTTCTCGGAGGAACTACATGAACCAGTTTCTGAAATGTGAATTGAAAAGGAAAATGCTCCCATTCTGAATGAACATTTCTGATTGGTTTGTCAGAATTGTGCAAGGCCCGACCCAGTGAATATTCTTATAAACCAACACGCATATCCACGGATATAGATGCATATCTTTCAGGCTAGACATGCATATCTACCGGATATGCATGTAGAAATGTCTATTTCGAGAAATATATATTTTTTTGTCTCCCAAGAAAATCAAGAAAAGGCGGGGGGGGGGGGTCCGTCCGGGTCAACAACACTATACTTTGGACATGTTAGATATTCTCTTCACCCTGATTAAAATTTCCGCCGATTCATTCAGTTTCATCGATGGTTATATATATCCATAGTCAACAGAAATTATTGCCACTTCTCATTTGCTTCTCCTGAATTTGAAACCAATAGTCATGCCCTTTCCATAACTCCACGAGTCATTTGTGGCTCTTTTAGTAGCAATAAAAATTCTGCTGTTTCTGGAGCAGCAGAGGCCCTTTTTGTTTCTTGCCCTATGATCTTGCTGACTTTATTTGTTTATTGCACTGTACCTTGGAAACTGGGAGGGTCTTTTCTTTGTCATTCCTGAGATAGGGTTTATTTTCCTAACGCCTGAGAAAAGGGGGTGAAATAACTGAAATAACGAGAAAAGGGGTGTTTTTTTAAGTGGTTAACAAGCATGGGTGCCCCCTAAAATGACAGAGGGGGGGGGAGCGGGAGACACACACACACACACACAATAATTTATTTTAACCCCAAAACTACTTCTGAAAGTCTAGTACTTTCTGCAACGTATTTACGTAATCACGCAATACGTTGATTACTGTGAACCGCAATTATCATCATCCTTGCAATGAGAGACCAACACGTCAAGATATCTAGGATGCAACCAGGCAGATGGCCTCTACACAGTAATAAGCCAAGTTTAATAAAAGCAATAGCCTTTTAGTCTGCAAGCTTTGTGTGAACCTCAAATGAATTACTCAGTCCGTGTATAGTGCCTCATACGTCGTTTCGTCTGCCCATTACTCCACAGTCCACCCTTGGCGCAAACCAGTCCCTTTCCTAGTCCAGACAGCTCTCTTGCCTCGACGGTTGATACCCCTCTGTCCTGGCTGGCATGCCCTTCTTTCTCGCCAAAATGCCCTGGCCGGTCTCAGGCATTGGCGCGGATTTCAAATCGCTGCTTTACAGCACGTTAATTCCTCAGGCCGTTGCAGTATTCCACTCACAAATACACTATATATATGTATGTAGATGATGATAAAAAAAGTATATGTATATGTATAGATGTATGTCACTAGTAATACTAACCAATGCTGACTATAGAACTGCTTATGACTGTAAATCTGAGTTTCTATAATTTCATAGATTTCAATAGTTTGTTTTGTTTTCATATTCCCGTGTTTCCTTTATTTCTCCTCTTCATTCCTGCTCTTATTAGTTTTCAAAATAGTAATGACCTAGGTGGATGAAGTGGCTGGGTCAAGATGACAGAAGCATCGAGGAGGGGGTCGTAGCAGCGGTGGTTGGAGCCGTCATAAAAGGATAGGCAGGGGACGGGAAGCCAGAGAAATCAACAGATAGGCTAGTTTGTGCACCCTAATAAGGGTGCACAATCTTCCTTGCCTATGGTGAGCCTTACCCCTCAAAGTCCCTAGGAGGGGCGACTAACCAAGGGAATACCTTGCCTATTGCTCCTCGAAGCTATTCCGACAAACACCAAGCCGGCCTTCTATCCTTTCAGCACGGTTCTTACGGCGTCTACCCTAGCGGACGTGATCGGCGGGCACATAACCGGGCAAAATACTCTAAACAAGTACCTTCCCGTTGTACTCTCACTTGTGGCGTTTCCTTTTCAGTAGCCCGCCCATCATGCCCGCTTATGTGGACCAACCTTTACACCTTAGGAAGTGGACAGAAGGGATTGAAGAGAAGGAAAATGAAAGGGGGAAGAAATGACTATGTAAAATCAGATGAAGCGAGGGTTGATCCTGACAGGGCCTCAGACATCGTCTCTTATGCCTCCTCCCCCCCCCCCCTCTCACGATAGCAACGGACATGAAGTATAATGTTAATGATTGAAATAAATAAATGTGCTCGACATCTAAGGTCATATAGCACTATGGTAAAGTATTTTGGTCAGAAGGGTAAATGTGTTAACGATTAGTATAACGAGTGTTAAATGTCAAAGATTATAGTATTTTAGGATAGTATGAGAGGGAAAAGGGTAAAGAAGGGGTGCAAATGATGTAAATCGGACATCAAATAAAGGAAAGGGTTAGGGGTATAGGGCGATTGGAGAATGGAGTGCATCTGTTGTTGGGAAAGCTATAGTAACACTGCTTTAAGGAAAACTGGTAAGAGCCGAAGTAATCAACGGGTAATACGAGTAGAGATGGCTATTGGAGAAGTTGCAAGAGAAGAGTCGACGGGATGTGATAACGGGACTGGGGAAGGAGGTGAAGTAAAAGGAAGAGCGTCAGGAGGGGAGGAATCTGGAGAACACTGTTGCGACAGATGGGATTTACGCGAGTACCCAGGTGGGAGGTAAGGATAAGGGAGAACGAAAAGGGAATGGTGTATATGGAGAGGATGGGGTTTGTTGGGAAAGAGTAGGAGGAAGAGAAGTAGGGGGAACTTACGGGCGAGGAGGATAGATATCGGCAAATTCTTTGAATGTAGAGGGACTAGGAATAGTGGGATTGGAGGGTGAATGAGGAAGCGGAACATTTTCTTGGGTCATATCTAGGGATTTTTTAATGTCTTCAAGAGTTTCTGGAGGGGATTTGAATAAGGAAGTCTGAGAAACAAAAGATTTCTTGTGAGGAGAAGAGGGAATAGATGTTCGAGGAGCAGTGAAAAGGGAGGGTGTAGGAGAGGGTGTGGAAGGCAAAGATGGAGCAGTGCGACGTTTAAAGTGAGGGGGGAAGGGTAAGTATCTGAGTAGTAGAGATTAGAGTATCTGGATTTAGAATGGAAAAGGGAATTGACTGGGGTATAGGGAGAGTTGAGGTAGGATGGTTCTGGGTAGAGGGAAGAGTTCCTGGGGGGGGATGCAGAAACATTTTGTGGAGATGGGGGGGGGGGGGGTGCAGAGCGAAGGACTGTTATGGAATCGGTGAAGATAAGAATAGTCGTCTTGCTTCCTTTCTAGCGTCACGTAGAGTGAAGCCTAGTTTGAATCAGAATTACTACCTCACATTCAAGCTTATAGGTAGGGCAGCTCCTATAAAATGCGTTATGGGAGTCACCACAATTAGCATATGTACGTGACTGAGCAGAGCAATTTGAACGGTCATGACCAGGTTGAGTACATAGCTTGCAGAGGGCTGTGGAGCGACAGTGTTTGTCTGGGTGGCTAAAACGCCAACATATCTGACATTGACGAGGAAGGGGTCGATATAGTCGGACATGGTAGGATAATCCACCAATATAAACTCCATGGGTGAGGTCATGTCTACGGAAGCTAATCTTGGCAATATTGACATGGGACTTACGCTGACCTCTGGGAGGAATAGTGTAACAGCGTACTGCTATTGCATCATAATCAGCAAGACAGGCAAGTAGATCCTTTTCATAATCTGACCAGTTCTTGTAATACATAGGACAATCAGTTGGGGGGATAGAAGCCATTCCAGTAAAAGTATTAAGAGAGAAATGAGGTTCGGCAGGAATGGGTTTGCCAGTAAGGTCAGTCAGGGTAGGTAGATAGTTGCATCAAAATCCTAAGCTCATGCACTAGGCGTGAATGATCGGAGCGACTGCGTAAAGTAACTTTACCTACTTGTTTTTGGAGGTACTGTTGAAAGAGAAGGGTATTCTCTGAGTAGGGGGCTGTGGGAGGAATCACAAAGAATTGATCCCACTTGGCTGGGCCAAAGAGAGTAGAGAATACTTAAAAGGTTTCATAGAGAGGCAGTAGAAGGACGAGGGCGGGAGGAAGACGGGGGTGGTGTGGAGTGGGTCTGTTACGGGGAGTACAACAAGGATGAAGAGTAGTAATAAGGGAAGAGGGGGTAGACATTGAAGGAGACTGCAGGAGATGAAGAGAATGTTGAGGGAGAGGAAGGGGTGCCTTCTAGAGGTTAAGTAATAACCTGAGTGGATGGTTCAGAATAGATAGAGTTGTCAGTAAATTCAAGGAGATTGTATTTGTGTCAGTGGTCGAAGCGGTGGTCAGTCAAAGGAGCAGGGGTCGGAAAACCATCAAAATCGGAATCAGATAGGCTAGCTGATGAAGGGGTAAGGCTTATTGCCCCTATTAAGGATAAAATATTCACTTTTTAGCCATAGTGAGCCTGAATAAAAAATTAGAAAAGAAACGATCTGCCCCTCAGGGTTCCCAAGGAGTTAGGGCTAGGCAATTAACCAAGGGAATACTGTGCCCATGGCTCCTGGAGGCCGTTCATGACCAACATAATGCCAGCCTTTCATCCTTTCAGCAGGGTTCTCACACCTTTCAAATGGGACAGAAGATACAGAAGAGGAAAGGAGAAGAAATGACCAAGCAAAATTCGTTGAGGTGATGGCTGAAGTCCAAGGTAGGGGCAATCCCTATATTGGGCTCCACTCTCCACCTCCTAAGCCCCAACACAATAACAAGGAGCAAGGTCTCGGGAGGGAATGGGAGTGAAAGGGTTTAGATTATTAACAAGGGGAATACTGCGCCCATGGCTCCCCGAGGCAGTTCAAGACTGACAAAAAAGGCATTTCATTCTTTCAGCACTGCTCTTAACCTTTAGGAAGTGGACTGAAGAATGGGTTGAAGAGAGGGAAAGGGAAAGTTTTTTTTTCTAAATTTGTACGTTTATATATATGTATATATATGAAAAGTCAGACATGTTGCTGTTGGTTAAATTGATAACAGTATTATGAGCTGCTTTTATTCAATGCCACACAGACAACTTTACAAAACCTGGAGTCTCTAAATCAAACTTTCACAATGTAAAGACCTACCAAACTAAAATGCGAAAAAGAAAGAAAAAAATATGTATCTTTTGAAACTTTTCAAAACATTCAGCTTCACACAATTTCTCATACACTTATTTTATCCCCAACTAGAAATTAATATTAACCAAATAAACATTTTCATTATGAAACTGGAATTGTATGCAGTATCACAAACAAAAACTATAGTATTGATATAAAAGTGCTCACAAACTAATTAGAAATGTTTTCTTCAAAAATAGCAAGATCAAATTTCAAGTGTCGACAAAATGCTTCATCTATTTATTTCCAAACTTGGCCATCTTGTTGTTGAGCGGAGATTTCCTGAACTTTGGCGAGGCCATGTACTTCTTGATGGGCTCGAGTTCCTCAAAGCGTTTGTGGAATTCCTGCAACTTTTTGAAGTCTTTCAAGCAACCACTATCAAGTACGAGGTGTTCATCTAGAAGTTCATACATGATAAAGTCCACGTAGGTTAACTGTGGCAAAAGAAGTGTGTGTTAAACTACATTTAGTGTGCTCTTACATATCTATATTTTAAGAGAATTTTTATCATTTCCCAAAGTAAAACAAAAAATCCATAAAACAAAACTCACATTGTCCCCAGCAAACCATTTGCGGTCTCCAAGGAAATCCGAGTAGAGCTTAAGTGTTTTTGGCAGAGCCTCTAAGTAAGCATCCTTCTGGGTGTCCTGATTAAAAAAAAATAAAAGAGTATACACAAATGAGAGGAACTCGTCTACCATGACAGAACTAATATCCTAAACAACTAAAAAGTGCACTGAAACTTACGAAATTTTGTAATAATCTTTAGGGCTCTTTCCCTATTTTACTCCAGATTCATTAATAAGGAGTATTTAACACAGCTACTATAAATAACTTTTAATGGTTCTTTGTTAGCCTTTATATCATAGCAACTTAAAAACTTTTACAAGCCAGCTACTCTCTCAGCTCAGTTTACTTGTTTCTAAGAACTGCTGTTTTCTTAGTACTTATTTTTTTATCCTTGAGAAAAAATACTACACATTTAACAGGACCAAATAAATCTGACTTTGTATTTATCTTTTTTTTTTTTTTTTTTACAACTTGAGAAAAAATACTACACATTTAACAGGACCAAATAAATCTGACTTTGTATTGAAGTAAAACCAAAATGTATCAGAAAAAAAGATAAAAAAAAAAGAAACTTGCACTTACATATTCTCTATAACAGAGTCGTGTAAAGCCATTGCGGAAGTCAACAGCCTGGTTTTCAAGGACGTCCACACGAACCTTCTCCTCCTCTGTCTTGCCACACATATCGTGCTGGCGAGCAATGTGACGGATGATGGCACTGCTCTGGGTGATTTTCAGGTTGCCATCCAAGTAGTACGGTAGCTTTGGAAAGAAAATAAGGATTGCCAAGATAAATGTAAACATGATGTGGTACAAATTCAAATTCCAGTCATAAAGCAACTGAATCTACATTAGCAGCTGCAATTTCTAAGATATGAAGCCTTATTAATTCCTAAACATCAGTGTACAAGACTTCAGAATTAGTGTAATTCTGCAAAAAAGGACAAAACCCTTAAATTCAACAAGGCTGCTCCAGAAAATATTCATCATGGGGTTAAGCTCATTACAGTCACAATAAATAAGTGAATGCCAATACACTTCAACTATGAAAAAATCAAATGAATATTTTTTCTTAATATAAAATACCCATTCAATCTAACACTGACTCATCCTCATGTGACAATTAAGTTAGATATTATCAAATTTTATCAAAATCAAACTGATAGCTACACAAAATGAGAGTGAGTGAGTGAGTGAGTGAGCGAGCGAGCACATGTGCATGTGCACGTACAGATCACAAATACTTCATTATCAATATTAAAGTCAAAGTAGTCCAACTTGATCTCACCTCTTTACCCTTTCCCTGATTTTTGGGAACATTTATCTTATTCTTATTGCTACTAGTATTAAGAAAATAAGAATTTTCATAGTCAATGATATAAATAAAGATAATGATCACAATAATAACAGTAACATTAAAGTCATTTAAAAAAAGAAAGAAAAAGACCCTCTTGCCTGAATATACGAGGAATGGGGAAATCAGGCAAGGTCATTTAGGCTTATTATCGACTCCTTAGTGACAGAACTATAGTAAAGAGCACAATGTAGTCAACAAGCTTTTTCATACGGTTAAGAATTTTAAAATAGGCACTGTAATTTTGATATCTACATTTAGGCAACTACAATGAATTTGTAAGTTCAATTCATCTATTTAAAGACTCAATGTATTTATAAATTCAAAATTTATTATACAGAATGTGAAAATAGAAAAAGGTTGTTTCAAAGTATATACATTTAGTTTATCAGCTTTCAAAAGACCTTGGACAAGCATAAGATATACTATCAGTTACAACATCCACTATCACCAGTACAAAGAAATTAGTCTTACACTAAACATGTCAATCACTGAGATAAAATATATTTCTAAAAAAAAAAAAAAAAAAAAAAATTAATGTGATTTCTCTCACAATGAAAGATGCCGAGGTCCTTTTCACTTTCTCACAAAAAAATGTAGCTTCTCATATATTAGTGCAAGTCATGAGTCAAGTACACACCATTATCTAGACAAGAGTACAATTAGCTTCTTATCATCGTGTCAAGTACACTCAAGATAAAGGATTTTTGTAATTCAGCCTCTGTGTAAAATGGGATAATAGGCTGCCAGTCCTGTAAAGATATATATATCTATATCTATATCTATATCTATCTATCTATCTATCTATCTATCCATCTATCTATCCATCTATCCATCTATCTATCTATCCATCTATATGTTTTTTTTTTTTTTTTTTTTTTTTTTTTTTTTTTTTTTTTTTTTTGACAAAGCTTTAAAATAAACTTCTGGATCTGAATTAACCAAAACTGAAAAGAAAATTTCAGAAAACTAATTACTTATCAATTTCCATGACATTTGCAATGAAAATCAAATTATATACCATTAGACTACTAGGCAATTTAGTTACACAATTCATACCAATCTTAATTGAACAGAACCAAAATAATACTAAAAATAAAGATAAATATAAAATCTACTTTCTGACTAAGTTCAAGGATTAAGACAGGATATATTAGTTGGAAAAAATTACAAATAGCTAACTCGTACTCTATTTACATATGCATATTTATATTCATAAAGACAACAATATTTCTATGTATTTTTACACGGACAGGTACATGCATACGTTTGTGTATAAGAATATGTATATGAATGTATGTATGTGCGTGTGTGCTTGAGCGTATGTGTGAGGTTAGATGTGTACATATGACTCTGCATGCATGTGAGTGTGCATGTATGTATGTGCATGTTCGTGTAAGTGTGCACGTGTTGGTGTGGACGTGCACGTGTTGGTGTGGACGTGCACGTCGTGCACGTGGTGTGGTGCACGTGTACGTGCACGTGTTGGTGTGGACGTGCACGTGTTGGTGTGGACGTGCACGTGTACGTGCACGTGTACGTGCAAGTGTCGTGGTGTGGACGTGCACGTGTAAGTGTGGACGTGCACGTGTACGTGTAAGTGTGGACGTGCAAGTGCGTGCGTGCAAGTGTACGTGTAAGTGTACGTGCAAGTGTACGTCGTGTGCGTGCATGCACGTGTAAGTGTGCATGTGCACGTGTAAGTGTGCATGTGCGTGTGTGCAAAGTGTGCAGGTGCAGTGTGTGTGGTGTACACGTGTAAGTGTGTGCGTGCATGTGTAAGTGTGTGCGTGCATGTAATGTGTGCGTGCACGTTTAAGTGTGTATGTGCACGTGTAAGTGTGTGCGTGCACGTGTAAGTGTGTACGTGCGCGTGTGTACGTGCGCGTGTAAGTGTACGTGCGCGCGTAAGTGTGTACGTGCGCGCGTAAGTGTGTGTGTGCGCGTGTAAGTGTGTGTGTGTGCGTGTAAGTGTGTATGAAAATTATAAAACATATAAAACATTTACACCATTCCCACAAGTATTTAAAAGATAGACACATACATTGGGAAAGTCGAGGCCGAGGGTAAACTTGACATCAAACCAGCAAGACTTGTCATAGTCAGGGGCAGGTCCACAGTCGTATATCTTCTCCTCGTACTCCGTGCCAGTGTACTCCAGCAATAAACGGATGGGCTGGGCAAGCTGTGAGGGAAAGGGGAAATTTTTTTTAGAAAAATCATTAACTGAAAGATAAGTTTAGGTTAATCTTTACAGTATGTGTGTAATAAGATAGGGTAAATTGATGATATTCTAGTCGAGGACAAAAAGATGATGTTGGTACAAGAAATAAATCTAGAGGCAAGAACTGTAATACCACAAAGGAAAAAGATTGCGGAAAGTACCTCTCAGAGCATAAGTAAACTCAGTCCGCCTGTGTTTCAGCTCTATCTTGCCATGTATATTGAGGTGAAGACAATGTTCTCCAGCAGTTATTTGGGGACACAGCCTCCCATCAATCATCCCTATGCAGTGCCTAGAGGACACACCTAGTCATAGTAACTTCGACTACTGAATAAATTTCATGAGGAAAGGGCGGGCTACATCTTG